TGCTATACAGATTCAATGCAATACCAATCAAAATCCCAACACTATACTTCACAGAACTAGAAAGAAGAATCCAAAATTCATTTAGAACCATAAGAGACCTAGAATAGCAAAAGCCATCCTAGGCAACAGACACAAGGCAGCGGAAATAACAATTCCCAATTTGAAACTATACTACAAAACCACTGTGATAAAAACAGCATGGTACTGGCAAAGAAACAGACCTGAGGACCAGTGGAACAGATTGGAAGACACAAAAACAACTCCAGATGTACCCAGCTACCTCATCTTTGATAAAGGAGCTAATAGTCCCCACTGGAGGCAAGATAGCCTCTTTAATAAATGGTGTTGGAAAAACCGGATCTCAACACACCAAAGATTAAAACTAGACCTTTATCTGTCACCATGCACTAAATTAAAATCAAAGTGGATTAAAGATCTAAATATAAAAACAAAAACACTAAACTTGCCTGAAGATAAGTTAGGCAGAACTCTAGAAGACATTGGCATAGGAAAAGACTTAATGAACAAATCCTCAGTAGCACGGGAACTAGCACAAAGAATCAACAACTGGGATCTCATTTTATTAAAAAGCTTCTGCACCACAAAAGAAACCATCAACAGAACTGAGAGGCTACCTACAATGTGGGAAAAACTTTTTACCAGCTGCTCCTCAGACAAAGGACTCTTATCTAGAATATATAAAGAATTCAAAACAACCAGCCCCCTCAAATATAAAGACCCAATTCAAAAATGGGCATCTGAAATGAACAGACATTTCTCAGACAAAGAAATAAAAGCAGCAAGTAAATATATGAAAAAATGTTCCACATCACTGGTCATTCAAGAGATACAGATGAAAACAACACTGAGATTTCACCTCACCTCACAAAGAATGGCTGCTATCAAGAAATCACACAATAACAAATGTTGGCAAGATGTGGGGAGAAAGGAACCCTTCTCCATTGTTGGTGGGAGTGCAGACTGGTGCAACTACTATGGAAGTCAATATGAAGACACCTCAAAGAACTAGGATTAGAGGTTTCATTTGACCCAGCCATCCCTCTGCTGGGTATCTTTCCAAAAGAATTAAAAGAATCATACCACAGTGATATATGCACACCCGTGTTTATAGTGGCACAGTTTGTAATAGCTAAAACTTGGAAACAGCCCATCTGCCCATCAGTTGGAAACTGGATGAAGATGTGGTTTTTCTATAAAATGGAATACTACTTAGCCATAAAGAATGAGAAAGTTGATTCATTCATAGGTAAATGGGTACATTTTGAGGATATACTCCTAAGTGAAATAAATAAGTCACACATATGCAAATACTGAATAGTTTCTCTGGTGTAAAAAACTAAAATACTACTCAAGATCCTAACGGGACAATTAGCAATGTGAAATAGGAAGAAAAGGACCAAAGGTATAGGGACAGTGAGACGGAAAGGGAAAGGGGAACAAGGGAAAAGGAAAAAAGTATGAGTAAATGTAAAAATGGAATTAAAGTGTTCGAAGGTGGGGAGGGGAGGAGTGGGTGAACGGAGGGCAGGGACAAGGGGAAAAAATGAGAACCAAGACCTGCCATGTAAAGGTACAAGATCCCAGTAATGAATGTAACTGTACTGTCTATCTAGAATGTACCAATAAATTCAATTTAATTAAAAAAAAAAGAAATTTAGCTCCCTTTCTATTGCTCTATAACTGAAATGAACTTGGATTTGGACATGAAGGGAGAACAATATCTTACTGTCAGTTCTGGGACACTTACATTTGGTTGGTGGAGATTTTAACACAGGAAGTAAAGACTTTTAGCACCTGGGGTGGGATGGAGTCTAAGTTTATATGGATTCTCTTAGGTAAGGGAGAACTGGTAGGGGCAGAAGTGTGTGGTCTGCCCGAGGAGGACATGCCTGGCCCACTCTGGGATGTCTGGGGCCCGTGTCTGGCCTGGGAGTGGTCAAGGAGAGCACAGGTCCCTGGACTCTGGCAGAATCACAGTTTTAGGCAATGTTCTCCAGAAAAAAACAGAACCAATAGGAATGAGGTTTACTATGGGAAGTCGGCTCACATGGTTATGGAGACTGAGTCCCACAGTCAGCCATCTGTAAGCTAGAGTCCAGGAGAGCCGGCTGCATAATTCAGTCCGAATCAAAGGCCCCATTACCCGGGGAGCCATGATGTCTGCCAGTGCAGGGGCAAGAGAAGATGAAATGAGAAGTCCCAGCTCAGGGAGGTGGAGAAGAAGGGGTGAGTTCTTCCTTCCTTGGCATTTTCCTCTACTTGTGTGATGCCCACCCACCCTGGGGAGGGAGGTTGACTTTCCTACGTTGACCGGTTCACATGCCCTTCACATCCAGAAATGCCCTCACAGACACATGGGGAAGCTGTGTTCAATGAAGGCACCCTTTGGGCCGGCCAAGTTACCACACAAAATTGAGCATCAGAGCCGTCCAGCCCCATGTCCCTTTGGTCCTCAACCTCGGCTGCCGGCTGTGTTAGCCAGTCTCCCCCACCGTCCTACTGTCCTCGAGCCCTGCTGTTTGGAGACGCCCTCAACTGCCTCTGTTCCATTTACCAGAAGGCATGGATGCCTGAGCCTCACGGGCTCAGGGGCTAACAGTGTGTGCTTCTGCTCCTGCCAGCTCTGACCCCGACTAGCGGGAGAGCGCCCCACCCGGTCAGTGCTCCATCAGCCGGATCTAATGATTTCCCTCCCCTAACAAACCACGGAATCACTCAACAAGTTGGTCACATCCTCCGATGAGACCCTGGAGACACTTTACTCTCTTGTTACTTTTTACTTTGTAACTTTTTCTCCCATAAACCCATGGCCCACCAAATCAAACAAACAACATATATATATTTTTTTCTTCTATACTCCTGGCGGCTCCCATTTCCCCAGCTGAATCCTTGGGCAAATGGCCACTTATTGGGCAGCCTTCGAGCGCCAGTCCATTAATTCTTACTCTTGGTCCCACCTTACAGCCACGTGAGGCAGGGGACTCTCACCATATTCCAATTTTTTGTAATACTGAGGATCAAATGCAGGGCCTTTGTACTGAGCTACATCTCTAGCTCCTTTTTTAAATTTATTTTTTATTTTGAGACGGGGTCTTGCTAAGTTGCCCTAGCTGAACACAAACTTGCAAACCTCCTGCCTCAGCCTCCTAGAGAGCTGGGATTACAGGCGTGCTTCACCATGCACAGCTAAAATATTCCAATGCGGACACTGGCTTGGTCACTTACAGCAGAATCTCCGGGAGTGAAGCCACGGCGATTCTAGTGATCCAGAGCCAGAACCAGAGTTTCTTCACCAGCCCCTGCTTGCTCAGAAGGCCTGGAGCCTTTTCTGTGAGGTGGAGGTAGATGAGGATGTGGGCGCAGGGTGGGGAATGTGTCTCCAGGTGTATTTCCCAGGATTCCTGGCCTTAGCTATTGGTTTTTAAAGGGTTTTCTCCCCACTACCACACCCCCTAAACACTAGAAAACAAGAAATAAATTAGTAAGAGAAAGAAGGACTTTTTAGCATTTCAGATTTAATGAATAAAAACAAAATATCTACACAAAAATACAAGTCATGTGTCACTCTTTTATTAATAGCTGGCCTTTTTTTAATTAAGTGTACAAGTCCATGGTGTTAGGTGTATTCACAGATACATCACCTCATACTACCATCACCTCAGTTGGTTTTAGAACATTTTCATCACTTCAGAAAGAAGCCCTATACCCTCTTGTCCCTGTTCCTTTCCAGCCCGGAGCACTCACTAAACTCCTGTCTTCATGGATGTGCCCACTCTGGTCATTTCACACAAATGGAACCCTATCCTATCCTATCTTATCCTACCCTATCCCATCCTATGTGGCCCTTTGTTGCTAGCTTCTTTCATTTAACAGAATATTTCCATGTTGTGGTCTATACAATTCCGTACTTCTTCCTTTCATGACTGCATAATATTCCACTGAATAGATATACAGTGAGTCCTCAACTTACAAATATTTGAGTCTCAGACTTGCACAGATAGTAATGACCCTCACATTACAAATATTTGTAGATGTGAATAAATTACAGAAGTAGCTCATATGTCTGTCAAACATTGGCACAGTTCTGCTGCTCTGTGCTTACTACACAGTGTGATAGCGTATGATATTACAGTGGTCAATCAGAGCCCAGAATGTCCAGAAGCAAGAGAAAAAACAGTGGTGGTGTGGAGGGGACTGCTAGAAAGTGCAAAGGGATGTACAATGTATATTTGTGTCAAAAGTATATAAGACTCACTGTGTTGGACTAATGAACAAAACTGACTTACTGCACAACATTTTGTTTATCATTCATCGGTTGATGGATACACCAATTATTTCCTTTTTATCCTTTGGCTGTTATAAATAATACTAAACATTCATGCATAAGTTTTTCGGTAGATGGTGTCTTCTTTTCTTGGGGTATATACCTCACAGTAGAATTGCTGAGGTCTATGGCAAGCCTGTGTTCAACTTTTTAAGAAGCCACCAGATTGAGTTCCAAAGTGGCTCCAGTTGTATCAGAAGGTCCACTTTCTCCACATCCTCACCAGCACTTGTTAATGTCATCAGCTTTCTTTTTCAAGACTCTCTGGTTTGGACGGAGGCTCCCCCTAGGGCGGTGGCTGTGCACTGCTGCAGAAGTGGGGATGTAAAGATCCCTGCTTGGTACATTTGTAGTGATGAGAAGTTATATCTTCATATCTCAGAAAAGAATCCGTTATTCTCATAAAGGCCTCTGTATTTTATCACCTCATTCACCCATGAAGCACCAAACACTGTACTTAGTGCTTTGGGAAAGCCAATTGCAGTGGCTCTGGTCCAACAGATCCAAGACCTGCATCTCCAATCCCAGCTGGGGAGGCAAAGGCTGTCTGGGTCCTCCCTTCTCAGCGACCCCTGTATCCTAGACACTCTTCCCCAGCTGGGGAGGGCTTTGTCCTTCTGGCCAATGGAGGAAAAATAGTCTTTCTTTCTTGCAGATAATGTAAAGGATGACTCGACCAAAAAGGACAACCCTTATAAGATCTTTTTCCAAGATCTCTTTCTTTACAAAGAAAATGAATTGGCAGCAAAGAAAAAGGTAAGGCTTTATAAAAAGGATTACAACAGTTAATGTTATAATCATGGCCTCTTATTCACGGCTCTCATGAGATTTTATGGATTATGACACGGTCTTGGGTGTTGACACAGGTGGTGTGTGGCTACACGCCGCTCTGGGAGAGACAGCGTGAACGCAAAGAGAGATCACAGCGACCTCTAGCGCACAGCAGGAACTGCAAAGGTCGCCACCCAGTGGCGGAGACAGATAAGCCACTCACCACCCAGTGTGACAATTACCAAGTACCCTACTTCGCTGGCTCTAACAGCCACGTTTTTTTATTTCTAAAATTGGATCTAGCTTACATAGATGGGGCGCCATACATCAGCAGCCATGCATCAAGTAATAATATTCTTACAATAAATGGCTCCTCAGAGTTGATGAACTACTGCGACAAAGTGGAATGACTGAGAATTATTTTAGAAGTATTTTGTATGCAGCTCGGTTAGCAATGAGACGAACCCTCCTACAGGTCGTGCAGTGTTAGTCTCCCTCACTGTACGATCGCAGCCTGCATGACCTGGTTCCCATTTCACGAAATTCACTGTTTCCTCCCAGAGGTAGAGGTTGAGTGGAGGACCCTCGTCACCCCGCGTAGAATGGAGAAAATCTCTACAAATGCCACTGTGTGATGGCTGCTTGCACGCGTTGTGTAGCTCTGTTGAATTTAACCCAAAATTAAACTGAGAAAATGCAAATGAAATCAGAAGCACATGCAGTAGACATACACACACACACACACACACACACACACACACACACACACACCCCCGACTGTGGAGGTCCATTTACTCTCAAGTTTTCCATTCTATAAAGCCACACCTTGGAATCTCCATATTTTCCCTGTCTTTGGGGCAGGACAAAATTGTGAAAATAAAGCCAGAAAGACATTACCAGGTTTGTGGGCTACAGTTTAATAAAGGTTAATTTTTTTTTTTTTTTTTTTTTTTTTTTTTTTTTTTATTGAACTTTTCCACTTGCGCAGGAAAAACTTTTGAACCGTAGCATGAAAGTCCACCAGAAGACCACTTTGTCATCCCAAATGAAGAGCCGCTCACACCTGAGCCAAATAGCTTTCCACTCTGACACAGCAGGTGTCTCCTTCGAAAAACTGGGGCTGGACCCGATGCTCATTCTGAAATTAACAGAAAGTAAGTTGACACTGCTTTTTGTTTAAGGACCCTTTTGATTTTGGGTTTGGGGCCTTTTCTGAAGGTGAGAAAAAACAGAAACTATTCCATCTTACGGTGGTGGGGGAAGTGTTTGCAAATGAAGGTTGAGAGTCAAGAGAAAGTCTATTTTAAATACGAAAACCTACGTTTCCAAAAAAGGCTCTCGAGAAGACGATCATTACTAAACAGTATTAAGGCTGGCAGTGGTGGACCAAAGAAAAAGATAAGGGCTCTGGACATTCAGGCCCAGTTTTAGATGTAGAAATACAGAAACTTTTTCTGGATGGAGAAGCCTTTATTGTTCATAGAACTCATAGCTCTAGAATCAGGGAGCTAATACAATTAAATAACCTTGCTTGTTATTGCAAAAACATGCCTGGTTTTAATGATTTTAGAAGGCAACATGTTAAAATACTACAAGACAGCAACCATTGCTCTATGGAAAATAGCAATCTGGTTATCAAAACTGTCCAAGAATTTCCTACTTTGATCAAGAAGTACGTATAAATAAGATAGAAAGTCTGATGCTAATGAAGTTAAAGTGACTTGCTGAGTCTAACAGTCATAAAATCTTTCCCCAAAATGGATTTTTTTATTTTTTGAATTAAAAACTTTAAAAGGAAGAAAGGATGGACAAACATATCTCAAGTGTCCTGGATTTGCTGTGATAATTTAAACTGTTTCTTTCCTCTGTTTCTCAAAGCCCATGTACTCTCCAAAATTATGGGGTTGGGGGGGAAGCCAAGTGCACACCTGTAATCATGGCACTTGGGAGGCTGAGGCAGGAGGATCACAAAAAGTTCAAGGCCGGCTAGATGAGACCTTGTCTCAAAATAAAAGAAAAAAAATAATCTCCAGAGAACAAGTCAACCATTTAGAATGAAAAGTTGGATTTCAACAATTAATGTAGAAAAAGGAGCCATCTAAAGTGATTTCAAAGATCTTAGAGGTGCATATATAGTTGAAAAAAATATATAGGCTGTAACAAATAATGCCAATATCCAGTGTGTGTCTAGGCTCAACCCTAAGTATCAGAGATCACCTCTGCAGAAGGGTTAACCCACGATCACCAAGAGTATGAGGTTTAGGAAAGAGTTCTACACAAAGAAGCTGACTTCAAAAATCCTTTCCACTCCAGCAGTTCTGAGGTCACCAGAAAGAACAGCTTTGCCAAAGACCTGATGTTACTGGGGTCTTAAGAGCAATTGCCTGGTTTTATAACTCCACAAAGCATCTGTTAACCTTTTCTACATTTAAAATAAACTCTTCCAGCTTATAAGCTTTCATAGAAAGTTGTTTTGCATAAAATGAAATACAATTTATTTTTTTAAAAATCTTGACATGGATAAACTAGCTGCATCTGCTCAAAAATACATTGAGGAGAATTTGAAACTATATGACAAAATCACTGTGATAAAAACAGCATGGTACTGGCAAAGAAACAGACCTGAGGATAGATTGGAAGATACAAAAACACTGCGGATGTACTCAGCTACCTCATCTTTGACAAAAGAGCCGACCATCCTCACCGGAGGCAAGATAGCCTCTTTAATAAATGGTGTTGGAAAAACTGGATTTCAACCTGCCAAAGATTAAAACTAGACCCTTATCTTTCACCATGCACTAAACTAAAATCCAAGGGATTAAAGATCTAAATATCAAAACAGAAATACTAAACTTTCTGGAAGATAAGTTAGGCAGAACTCTTGAAGACATTGGCATAGGAAAAGACTTTATGAACAAATCCTCAGTAGCACAGGAACTAACACAAAGAATCAACAACTGGAATCTCATCTTATTAAAAACCTTCTGCACTGCAAAACAAACCATCAACAGAACTAAAAGACAACCTACAATGTGGGAAAAAAATTTTACCAGCTGCTCCTCAGACAAAGGACTCTTATCTAGAATATATAAAGGACTAAAAAAATCATCCCCCCCAAATATAAAGACCCGATTCAAAAATGGGCATCTGAAATGAACAGACATTTCACAGACAAAGAAGTAAAAGCATCAAGTAAATATATGAAGAAATGTTCCACATCACTGGTCATTCAAGAGATGCAGATGAAAACAACACTGAGATTCCACCCCACAAAGAATGGCTGCTATCAAGAAATCAAACAATAACAAATTTTGGCAGGATTGTGGGGAGAAAGGAACCTTCTCCATTGTTGGTGGCAGTGCAGACTGGTGCAACTACTATGGAAATCAATATGGAGATGCCTCAAAAAGCTGGGACTAGAGATTCCATTTGACCCAGCCATCCCTCTGCTGGGTATCTTTCTAAAAGAATTAAAAGAATCATATCGCAGTGATATATGCACATCTGTGTTTATAGAAGTACAGTTTGTAATAGCTAAAACTTGAAAACAGCCCATTTGCCCATCAGTTGGAGACTGGATAAAGAAGATGTGGTTTTTCTATAAATGGAATACTACTCGGCCATAAAGAATGAGAAATTAGAGTCATTCATAGGAAAATGGATACATATTGAGGATATACTCCTAAGTGAAATAAACAAGTCGCACATGTGTAAATACCAAACAGTTTCTCTGGTGTGAAAAATTTTAATGGTACATAAGATCCTAATGATATAATTGACAATGTGAAATAGGAAGAAAAAGGCTAAAGGTGTAGGGGAAGTGGGAAGGGTAGGAGAAAGGTAATAAGGGAAAAGAAAAAAAATAAAATGAAAAAATGGAAATAAAGTATTTGTAAATAGGGAAGGGAGGAGGGGTTGAAGGAAGTGCAGGGATAAGGGGAAAAAATGAGAACCAAGACCTGCCATGTAAAGGTACAGATCCCAATGATGAATGTGACTGTACTATATACCTAAAATATACCAATAAATTGCATGAGAAAAATATATATATATATACTGAGGAGAAGTTCTGGGTACCATTTTACTATTGCAGATTTTCTTGTAAGTTATGTCTATCTTACATTGTTTGTTCATTTTCTAATAAACAAGATCTATGTTAAAAAAAGGGGGAGGTGATTACTGTCATAAGACAGACTCTTGAAAAGGAGCTGGTCAAATTGTTTGGCAGTCTCCAGGGCAAATTGCGCTCTGGCGCCCATGGATACCAGACAATCTAGACATTTTCACTTGAAGACATCGCCCTGGGACTGTACTGCCGATGAGGAGCTATATGACCACAGCTCCTGTCCCTCGGTCTCCTATTCTTTGCCTGCACTGTGGTTGAAAACAATCCTAGACTAGAGTAAAAGAAGCCAGGACCCCGCCTTGGGACCCTAAGTTATTTTAGTTTTTCTGCATGGAGTAGAGACAAACAGCTAGGTCATCATCAAAGAAAGTACACAGAAAAGAAAAAAATATGAGAAAATGAAGAAATGGAAATGAAGTGTTTGTAAAGGGGGAGGGGAGGAGGGGGTGAAGGGAGGGCAGGGACAAGGGGAAAAAATGAGAACCAAGACCTGTCATGTGAAGGTGCAGGATCCCAGTGATGAATGGAACTGTACTGTCTACCTAGAATGCGCCAATAAACTCAATGAGGAAAACAAAGAAAGAAAGAAAGAAAGTACACAGGCAACCGCCGTGGACAAATCCATTTGCCTGCGTGACAGAAGTGTCAGCTCCATCTCTGCGTGGCTGCAGCCCTACCTTGGTTTGCTATCAGAGGCACCCGCTCTGAACAGATGGTCTCGGCCGTCTGCATAGACCCAGCTCTTCCAGCCTGCCCTTTCCCTTCCCAGTGAGCGGTGGAGGGGCCCTGACGCAAGGAACACTATCACTTTGGGGGAGGCCTGATTATTTGAGTCTTGGTGGAAATATCTGCCTGAGATCTAGCACAGCCCAAACAGGAAACCCACTACAGCGAGTCTTACTAGGACAGAAAAATAAAATTCCCTCTATGCCACCCGCCAGTGCCATGTTACAGTAGCCAGAACTAATATTTGGTAATTTGATAACACGCAAGTAGGGGGTGAACTTTATTTTCCATTGGGCTGGCCTATCATAAGCGACCCACTGAAAGCTAAAGCAAGCACTTGCATCCTTCTGTTAAAGATGTTTGAATTACACCTGAATCTAATCAAGTAAATATGACAGACTGAAGACTGTGCTAAATCATGAGAATGCAAACATGCTGGACTCGTATATAGGAAAATCTACAGGGAACCTGGCCTACTTTTTGCACAGATGAATGGCATGTGGGAAGAGATCACAGAAGTAAGGGTGGCTGTGACAGATGAGAAGGAGATGCTAGGAGCCCTGCCAACCAAACTGATCTTCAGCTTTTAATTGTTTTGTTTTGTTTTGTTTTTTTAGACAGGGTCTCACTGTGTAGTTGAGACTGACCTGGAACTCACTATGTAGCCCAGGCTGGTCTCGAACTCACAGAGATCCTCCTGCCTCAGCCTCCCAAGTTCTGGGATTACAGGAGTGTGCCACCACGCCCAGCCCAGATTTTAATTTTTACAACAGGGGAAGATTTAGGGCAGGCTGGCTGGGTGAGCACACTAAGGATTTGTTAGTTGTCTTAAAAGTGAGAGTTACATACCAAAGTGCTTAAATGACCCACGTGTTTTTATTTTCTTTAAAATATCCCAGTGAGAGAATGATCAAGGAGGCCTGGCAAGAGATGAGACTGGCAAAATACAGTTAATGTTGGCATAGGTGACAGGTACATGGGTTCCACTGGGTGACTCTACTGTCATGAATGGTGGTGATTCCAAAGTATACAATTTTGAGAGGTACTAAAAGGCACTATGGGCCAAGTGTTGATGACTTTGACATACGTTTTGCTTAATCCTCAACAAAATGCTTTTGAGATATTTCTGCCACCTCTTTGTGGTCTGATGGAAGTGACTGGGGAGGTTGAATCACCCAAACTCTCTAAGAATTCAAATCAACTTCTCTCACTCCGAAGTTTGTCATCTGTTACCTCCCACAGAACATTGATCAATGAGTCTGGTAATCATTGTCGCCATCATTTCTGACCTTAAGTAACGAAATGATTACTCATTCTAACGGTGTTATGTAAGCAGTATGGCTAATCACTATTAAGAAGTTACTGGGCTCTGTAATCTATTGCCTCATCTCCTTCTCCCAATACCATTATGAAAGAGCGTGATATAGCTGCGTAGGCTAAGTTATGCTTTGATAATGAGCCATTCCTATATTTCCGTGGTTTACAACCTCAGAGGTCTGAATTCTCACTCACTTTTCAAGTTTGGTGCTTTTCCCTGAATTTTCTGTTGAAGGAACATCCTGTGTCTGGGACCCGGCTAGGATTACAGCTGAGGGAGGAAGAGAGGAGCGGAGATTCTTCGTTTCCTCTTGGAAACACATAAACCACGTCCACGTGCATTCCATGGCCAGCACCTGCCATCCACCAGGAGAGCAGACAACCTTCACAGAGAGGCAGCGGACAGTTGGAGACGTTAATATAATTGACCAGTTAGCGTCCTCGTCGGACAAATAACGAAACTGAGGCACGGAGAAGCTACGTGCTTTACTCATGGCTCCCAACTAGTGAGCCGTGGAGGCTGAGGGTGACCCGGGGAGACTTAGGTCTCTTAGATCAGCACAGACTCACTGGTTAGTTCAGAAAAATTACTTTATTTCTACTTCTATTTACATGGTTGGTAAGAGACTTCGTTCCACCACATTCTGTGGACTTCTCATGAAGCAAACATTGAAATGCGGCGTGCGTATAATTCTCCAAATGGGAAGAAGAAGCCTTGAGAGGAAATCGCTGGTGTTTCCTGTTGAGTTTTCTGTGTGGTACAACTAGTTGTCCTATTTCCCTACCCTCCTGCAACTTTGGTTTGTGGTTTCCCCCAAAACCCTGCACCTGAGGACTGCATTTGCTGTCTGACAGGCCAAGCCCTGAGATTCAAAAGTTCCATCTTACTCGGTGCAGCCCAGGTGGGGGAGAGAGTTCCCCATCCCCACTGTTTGTCATCTTCGTGACCTTAGAGAATCCTGACCTCTCCACTTCGGGAAGCAGGCAGGACGGGATAGTAATCAATACCTTATTTGGATTGTCCTTAGGATTAAGTGATATATTAAAAGCATTTAATAAAGTTCCTAGAATGTGACTGGACACAAAATAAAGGAGAGTTACTCTTATTAACTTAATTTATGGGTGATTAAGAAAAACCTTATGGCAAGGTGCAGTTCTTCCAACCCCAGATATATTCTACAGTATATGTAATAACTTAGGCTAACTTTTATTCCACACAATGTATTTGAAGGATAATGAACTAAACCTAAATCTATTTAAATGTTCTTTACAGGTGCAGACACGAAAAGGACTCTCCATGAATTTATTAGTGACCAGAGAGACAGGTTTCTGATGGAGGTAGTAAAAGTAATTCATTTCTCCCATTAGCCAACAGAAAACTTCTTGCATAGCATTGCCAAATATTTAACTCAACATTGTATTTTTCTATTATGTGTCCCAAATATATTGCTAAAAAGATTGGTTCATTCCTACATTTATTCATTCAAAAATATTTGCTGAGGGCTTACCCTGGGCCAAGCAGTGAACAAAACAAAGATCTTGCCCTCAGGGAGCTCACATTCCAGAGATTTATCAGGAAAATTATTCTCCAGGATGTGTGCTTCCAGGGTTTTCTTTTTGCCCAGTTTTTCCTCCCACAATCAGAACAGCACTTCATGAGCCAAATTTAATTTAGATTTTCATGAATCTTCAGTGAAATATGGTAGGAATCAAAGCACTCTGGAAACTCAGAGAATTCTGGAACCCTTCCACCTCTGACTATACCCCTCGTGCCAGGAAAAAAAAAAGAAAAAGTGCCTTTAACAAAGACTTTTATCCTATGTTTTAGTTTCTTTGATCATTGCTGAGACAAAATACCCAACACCCAAAGTTAAAGGAGAAAAAGTTTAACTCACAGTTTAAAGAGGTTTTAGTTGAAAGAGGCTGGCTCCAGGGCAGGGGGGCATCGCAAAGGAAACAGAGTTCATGGCAAAGCAGGGCAGGCAGGAGGCAGCAAGCAATAAACAACAAGCAGTACACAGCAGCCCTTTCTGTCCCTCATATTCTTAGGTAGGCCACCCTGCCTTAGGGTGAGTAGCACTCACACCCTTAATTCTGGCATCACACCATGAGTCGATCTCTGCATCACACACTGTGGATCCATCCACCTCAGAAAAGCTCCACCTATAACCACATGAGGATTTAGGGGATATCCAGACACAAGCCACAGCATCCTGCCATCACAAACCTTTAACTAGAAATCAGGCCTGAAAACACAATTATTTCATAGCTCTCTATGCGTGCTCATTTACCATAATAAAGCAGAGACAATGAGCACTTAAGGGTGGGAGAATAATCACACGAGGAATTGATTGGATGTTGTTTATACCACTGTTGTCAATCGTCTAAAGATCAGGCTGGCCTGAAATCACTATGTAGCCCAGAGTAGCCTCAAACTCACAGTGGCCCTCCTGCCTCAGCCTCCTAAGCACTGGATTTCAGGTGTGCACCCCATGCCCAAAGTTCAAGCACTTTTTGAAGTGTCCCAAATTGACTTAATGGAGTCCATTTATCAAAGGGACTTGTATGTAGTTTAAGAAAACAGTGTCCTTGCTCAAAAAAAATCTGGCTTTGCCCTTGATTTCGGGGAGGTAACTTATGCCGTGCTTTATAAGGGTGTGTTTCTTCAAGATGAGATTGGCTATACGGGACAGTCAGGGTGGCCCACACCAGCAAAAACAACACTGTTACATCCAGTAGGGACTTAGGGTAACACTCAGAAGGTCTGGGGATTGAAGACAGATCAATCTCATGGTCAATTAATTAAGCATGCCAAACTGCTGAGGCCCCCAGAAAAACTCTGGACACTGAGCTCAGCCAAGCTTCTTTGGTGCTGTTGTGTGTGGACGTGGGGAAGCAACAGCCTGATTCCGTGGGAGAGAACGCTGGGAGCTTTGCCCTTAGAACCATCCCGGTCCTTGCCAGAGGTATCTCCTCCCTGGGTTGATTCTAATCTGCATCCTTTCCTTGTAGGGAAAAGTACCCAAGAATTTTATGAGGTCAGGAAAATTATTAACACTGCACTGAGGGTATTTTGAGGAGCTCCTTAAACTTGCAGTTGGTGTCAGAATTGAGGTCTTGGGAACTAGATCCTCCAGTTTTGCAGTTTGGCTGACAGGGAACTTAATAATTTTCAAAAAACTGAACTGCTTTCATGATATCTTTCTTGGTTCCTTCCTTGTTTTGTCCTTGTTTGTTTACTTGTTCCAGAGTTGGGACTTGAAGTACCCATTTAAAAAATATACATGTGATATATTATGAATTGAACATCATGAAGGACTTTATGCCAATAAATTTGAAAACATGGGTGAAATGGGCAGATTTCTTGAAAGACGCAAACTACCAAAGCTTACTCCACAAGAAACAGATAATTGAACGGTTAATGTCTCCTTAAAGAAATTGGACTTGTAGGTAAAAACTTCACAAAGACAAATGGAGATTCACTACTTATTTTTGGCAGCAATTTTAAAAAGAAATCATTCTAACTTTAGACACACTGTTTTAAAAAGTTGAATAATAAAAGAAAAATATTTCCCAACTCGTGCTATGAGGTCAGCATTACTTTGATGTCAAACCCAGATAAAGATATTAGAAGAGAACAAAATTAAAGCCCCCTCATAAACATAAGTAACATTCTGAATAAAATTTAACAAATCAAATCCTATAATATATAAAAATAGCAATAGATCATGACCGATTTAAGTTTATCCTCAGCATCCAAAAGTAGTTTAACGCTTGAGAATTAATCAGTGTAATACACATAGTAGATTTAAAATGACTAAAAATTAAAGGCATATCAAGGTCCTGAGTTCAATCCCAGTACCAAAAAAAAAAAAATTAAAGGCATATAATTATCTCAGTTGATGCACAAAAACATTAGTCTGTATTCAAAACTCATCCTCTCTCTCTCTCTCTCTCTCTCTCTCTCTCTCTCTCATTTTTGTCTGTCTGTTTGAGATCAGGTCTCACTATGTAGTCCAGGCTGGCCTTGAACTCACAGCGATCCTCTTGCCTCAGCCTTTCGAGTGCTGGTATTACAGGCGTGCAACACCATGCCCAACTCCAAAATTCATTCTTAACAAAAGCTTCCAGCAAACGGGATACAGAAAGGAACGCCCTTAATTTGATCAAAGGGCATCTACTAGAAACGTATGACTCATATCATATGCTCAAAGTATGAATGCTGTCTTCCCAACACCAAGAAATAAGCAAAGACGTCGAGGCTTTCAGACAGATAATAGGAGAGCAGATAGTCGTCCATCCGTTACCCCTCCTTACAAGTACTGATTTTCCCTCCCCTCTAGACTTGTGGCTTTAAACCTCACCTCCATATATAAAACCCCCAAATTTATTTCTTTCCCCTGATCCTCCTTCCTGAATCCCAGATTCGGGGATGCAACTGTAATCCCTCTTGAGCAGCTGTTAGGGATTACAGCTCCTTTTCTTTTCCCTGACCTTCAAGTGTTAGACTTCTCTAGAGACCAGTCCTCACCCTGTGCCCTCTCTGTCCTCCTCCAGACTCATGGCTTTAAACGTCACCACCGTGTCTGCAACTGTCAAATTTACCGTGGTAGGATCGCGGCCGTCCCCGGTTGTGGATCTCAAGTGCCCTGATCTGGTTCCAGGACCTCGCTGAGCTCCTTCCTACCACTAACCCCCTTATCACTCTGCTCCGTCTGCAATGGCTTCCATGCTTTTCCAGGAGAACCCATTCACTCTCGGGCCCCAGGGCCTTTCCCCTGGAAGCTCTTCCTTCTAGGGAAAGCCTTCGCCCTTCAGAAATCGCCAAGCTTGGCTTCCTACCTCCTCCTGCTTTGGCTTAATTTTCACTATAGCATAGAGACTTTCACTGACTGCTCTACACACAGTAGCAACCCTCTACCTTTGCGCTTGGGCACTGCACTCTCCTTATACTGACTCTTTCCCTACTAGAATGAGCATCCCGTAAAAACAATGGTGTTTCTTTTGTTCACTGCTCTATTCGCACGTGGTTAAGCCCTCAAAAAATACTTGATAAGCAAAGTCGTGGATGAAATATTTTGGTTATAAACTTGGTTATAACCTGTTAGTATTGGTGGTAATTTCCTAAAGTTATCTCACTCCGGTATTTTAAATTCATGTATGACACGTATGACTTTGTTTCTTTGTAATTTATTTTTCATGGGTGGCATTCAAAACCCAAGTGGATTCTTGTGCTATGTACTGAAAAAATAGGTAGATGTCAGAATTGTACTTGGAGATGCAGACAGGCCCCTTTGGGTAAGGTTAAACACTTTGCACCTTGAGCCGCTTTGAGGAACACATCACTGGCATGGTGGGGTTGAAACTGCGTCCTCCTACGGTCTTCCTTGTTGGGGGAGAAGCTGGTAGACTGTAGTGGCACACGACCCAGTTTCCCAATGCCCAGAAAGAACCAAAAAGTGGTAGCAGCAACCCCTACTCTTCGGAGAGAGTTGTAGCTATTTTTTGCTCATGGGGCATAGCCCTTTTAGGGCAACCTTGAGTCTCTTTGTAAAAGCAAATAAGAGGAATTAGTCTCCCTTCTAAGCATCTGTCAAAGCAACGTGAAATAAAAAGGCTCAAGATTTAGCCAAACTATTGCTTGTAGTACAAGTGATTGTTTATTGTGAAATTCATTTTCCCCTCCGTTATGAGACTGTTGGAATGTACCTGAAATGCATGATAATGTTCTTGATGCACTTTTACTTTCAATATTCCTAGTACACTCTGTCCACCAAGAGAAACACAATTAAAAGACTTGAAAAACACATAGCTGTAAAGGAAAGGCAGCTCAAAAACGCAGAACAAAAGCTCCAAGATGACACACTTGCCTTCGAAGAGTTCCTTCGAGAAAATGACCAGCAATCTGCAGATGCTATGAAGATGTTAGTGTCACCCCATCAGCCAAATCCCACCACCCCCACCCCCGGTTTGTTAAGTCTCTCAGAACATAGCACAAAACAAAACAAACTAACAAACCTTTGCTCTTTATTCAGTGCAGCACAAGAAACTATCAGCAAACTCCAAATGACAGCCGAGCTGAAGACAGCCAGCATGGAGGTGCAGGCAATGAAGAGGTGAGGGAGCCACCATCTTTGCAAGACCTGATTTCCACAGCCCATGGAAACCTATGTGGGAAAAAGCCTCATTGTTGATGATCTCCTGCATGTGAGCAGGAAAGGGTCCCCCCTGCCTGGATGTCAGTTCACTGCAGCGTCAGGAAAGGCTCTCTGACTTGTAGAAGATGTGGAAACAAAGAAATCAGTTGAAAGAAGGCAAACTGGTGTTAGGTGTAAACAGTTCTTTCCTCGGTGCCCTTTTGTATTCCTTTTAGGACACATTTCCCTCCACGTTTGAATATCTGTGAATTGGGCTTCATTTTATCCTTGCCTTACAGTTATAGTTGGTAGTATTTCATATTTATTCTTAGTAGAATCTAGCATTGCTATTAAAACATAAGATCTATAGTGAGAACATCCCAGGGGCAAGAGTTGGGATTAAAATTATTGTGCCACTGGCCGCTCTTCTTCAAACCTGTGTGTTTCCTTCTATAGTAAGGAAACTCACTTGAATTAATTTTAAATATCTAAAAAGTTTCCATCACCATCCTTGGACAATAATTTCATGATCCAGGACATACTATTGTTTTGCCATCAGGTAGTGCTAAGATTTATTTTTTCTTCTTGATGACTTAATGTTCATATCGCCTCTGAAACCACACCCTTGATTTCTGACACTTCACCTATTTGGGGAGAAGGGCAATAATGTGTCTAAAATGCAGCAAAGGAACTGGATGGTAGCTCAGCGAGTGCACTAACAAAATGCGTGTCTGAAAGACATTCTGGATACAGCAGCCTCTTCTACATTAGGAATCTCAAGGTATAGGTGCTACAAGAAGGAGAATTCATCCTCCCCAGCCCACAATGTAAGCAGAAGATTTTGTCCACTAGAAGAATATTTGCAAAAGCAGAGTAACAGCCTCCATGTTTTTAGGGGGGACTGCACATGTGCCTGTTGGCCCCCCAGGGACACCCTGGGCCTGAGAATGTGTCTATTGCTCATCATCCCAACATCCTAGAGAGGCTCAAAAGAGCATGGGACATGGCTTGTGAGGGAGCTTGGCTGTTTTCTCCTTTATGGAGAGAGGGCCCAAAGAAACCCTCCTCTGCAGGCCCTGCTGGGGGTCAGGATGGGGACCTGTTTCCAAGCAGAAAGGTGCCTTATTCCTAAGCCTTTGTATGGGAGCCATGCAATTCCAGTCCATTCTCAGTCCGTGTCCCTTGTGACACCTCTGGGAGGATTTCTATCAAAAACTAAAGCGGTGGTAGAGGGAGGGGCTCCCATCATCTTCCGACCCCTGAAACTTGAGTCAGCCACTCGCTGGGCCTGAACTGTCACTCACACCGGGGCTGAGGGAAGACAGATTTGACGGATAGAGAATTGAAGTCGAGCATGTCCGTAAGATGTGAGGTCAGTGAAAACACTGATGAGGGTCTGAATGTGAAAGTTCTGAAAAATGAGCCCCCATTCCTTGAGCTTTTCTTTCTTACTTTAAAGCACTTCTTCTTGGACCTCTTCCTAACATGGCTGTGGTAAAGCAATGTGAAGCTGGGGGAAAGGCTCTGGGTATTTCCCCTTGAGAGGCTGGGCATCACAGCCGGACACCGTTGGGTCTGAGTGCTGGCTCACTCAGAAATACATTTATCCTTAAATGCTGTCCTAACCATGAAATTACCTCTGTAACACATCCTGTAAATCTCCCTGTGCACAGTCAGTCTTCATAAAGTATTAGTATGCTTTCTTCTCCTTACATAGGGACAATCTTGTTACCTTCTATTTTCTCCCTGTGTCTAAAATTTAACATAGCACACTGTTTTCTACAGAAATAAATATGCAGAGTAAAACTGTCACCAGCCTCACTGGGCGTGGTGGCACAAGCCTGTAACCCCAGCACTCAGGAGGCTGAGGCAGGAGGATCACTGTGAGTTCGAGACCAGCCTGGGCTGCATAGTGAGTTCCAGGTCAGTCTCAACTACACAGTGAGACCCTGTCTCAAAAATAAACAAACAAACAAAAAAAACTAGCACCAGTCTATTCTAAGTCTGCATATCAGATAACAGACCTACAGACTACTTTCTTCTCATTTTATTGAAGCCTGTATTTTTATGACCAGACTTAAGATTTTTGATAAGTACATTATTATTAAAGTACATCATCAAGATGTGTTATATGAACAAAATTTTATCCATATGCTTTCACATAGGTACACCTAACCATATCTTTGTTTCTTTCTTTTGAGTAGTGATATAGCAAACACAGAGTTCCTCCTTCGGGAGTACATGAAATACGGGTTTTTTCTGCTGAAACTGTCTCCAAAGCACTGGCAAATCCAGCAAGCACTGAAAAGATCACAGACATCAAAAATTCATTCCCTTCTTCCAAAACTCTTAGCAAGTAAGTTGCACATTCTTAATTTCAAATAAGCAAAAATCCCTGATTCTAAAATAGTGTACTTCTCTGCCTGCCTCGCGACTGCAAGGACATGAGTTCAATCCCTGGTACAAAAATAAAATAAAATAGCATACTTCAGTGGTTTTATTTTTGTCAGAATTTTAAAAAAGAAAACCAGAATGTGGGTTCTCACTGTCCTTGTTATTATCTGTTATGAATTTCAAGCTCAGGTTAATTTCAGAAATAAAGTCATAAAAAATATATGGGAAAAAAAAGATAAAATGTATTATTTGCAGATGATGTGGTAGTATAGAAATCTTCACTAATAAAAATCTCAAAAACTATGTCATATAGTAAAGTGTTCTATAAAGTAGATGAACACAAAGTTAATTATACTTTATCTGCATATTATAAATTAGCATATTAATTTGCTCTACTTTTGCCTGTGTATTTACATATTAACACAAGTAAACCAACTTTAATAATTAGAAACTGCACAAGAAAACTAGATCCAAGAAAACAATAGTACCTTTAATAATATGGCCTGGAGGCTTGATAAATAGAGAATATGTTATGTGATATAGATATATAGAGAGGTAGATAGATAGATAATAAAAATATAACCAAAAATTTTTCAGAGTGATGTGTCAGAATGGGGAGAATTTTATATAATGATTCTGTGGCTCAGCTATACTTTTGAATTAGGAAGGTGATAGGTAGGAGTTATTAATCCTCTAAAATATTATGTAATATATTGTCCCAGAGTCTCAATAATTACAACAGTATAGTACCAGCATTCGGAGGTCAGCTTAGTGGGCCAGAAGTAGATCCCATCATATAAAAGAATTTAAATGCATGATTAAAGTAAAGCCACAAATCAAAATAAAACATTTGTACTTCCAGCAACACTGGGTGATCGGGAGCAGACTTACCCCCTTTTCTGGAAAAAAAACAAAACAAAAAACACGAGAAACTGAAGGAACACAAGAGTCAAGGATTTTCTGGCACTGGGTGTCAAGTGCAGAGCAGAGTCGTCCTGGGAGAGGGGAGACCAGCAAGGGCGTCCCTGTGATGGCTGGGAGAGTATTTGAGGTGCCACGTGGGGAGAGGAAGCCGGTCGCAGGGGAGCTCAGCAGAGAACAGAGCACGTGCATCCCGGACACTGGCGCACTGGGAGCCGGGAGCGTCTGGGCACAGAGCTGGCTGATAACACGTTTCCCAGCATGACGCTCAGGATGGCCCTGCCAGGCCAGAGTGAGGTCTGTGTGCAAAGTGTCGAGCATAGTGCGGAGACGTGGTTAGAATTCACTAGATGGTATTGAAGAAGAAAGAGAACAAATAGGAAAATAGAGAAATATTTGCATTTAACAGCTTAAGATTTAGTCCTCCTAGATTCGCCATCCAAGTAGGAGATGCTCAGAGCCCAGGAGGTGTCTCAGATGGGCTGATGGTGAAAATGGAGACCTCCAGGGGCCTAGGGTCTGTTCTCATCCATTCTGCCCACACCAGACACAGCCCTTGCCAGGAGATCGCATTTGCTGCTTACAGGATCTCCATCTTTTATTTCTGTCCTTGGAAGTTTTGGCAATAGTTCTTGTGCTCAGAAATCTCTCTTGTCTCTCTCTCATCTCCCACTTCTAGAATCCCCATTAAGTCCAAGTATAATAGACAGTGGTACTGGAAGTCCCGAGAAGATGATACTACTTTCAGATGACTCAACCGGAAGGAGGAGCCAAGGTAAGGGCTGAGATGTGTGACTTCACTCCCCAAAGTAAAACCACAGAATGTGTCAGCCTCAAAGTGGAGGAGGAGGACCTACAAGATTAGCTGGAAAGTGGGGGGGGGGGGTCCGCGTTGCCACATCACCCATAATCCTAAGCACCAGAAGTTCCGGTTTCCACCGGATGTTACCACAAGTTGTCCTGAGTGGACAGAATCTGTCCCCCGGCTGACCACTACATGCTCTGAGGTCTGCCCTAGCTGGGCCCCTCCTTCCTCTGGCTCAGGCCTGCCTTTTGGTAACAGCAAGCCTCTTCCCAGGGCCCAGGAAACCAGGCCAGTTGCAAATAAGTGACTGCCATTGTCAGTGACCCGGAAGTCACTCTTGGGAAGAAGGAAGCAGGTCTACCACACCCACAGTCAACTCCCCAAGTGGGCCGGGGCAGTTGATTCCCAGTACCAAAACAAAAAACAAAAAAACTCCCCAAGGAGGGCTTCTTCCTCTCAATAGACTTAGTCCCCAGAAGGCCTCCTTCCCTCGGTCACCCCCTCCCACACCCTGCAGTCATCTGTGTCTGTGACCCTCCCTGCAGGCTGACACTTGGTGACCTCTTCTCTCCCTTGTCCAGCACATGTATGTAGTGGTTGGGGTAAACTCAACAGCATAATTCGCCTGCACAGTAAATGACCCAAGTATGAGTTTTAGGCCATGAGCAGCCCAACGATGGAGAAAAACAATTCTTTGATTTGTGAAGCCAGTTTGCCCATTTGTACCAAGGGACAGTGACTCATTTCTAATTATGTATTTTCTCTTTTCCCTCTCTGCCATTGCCAACGGTATGGACTTCACTGGATGAACATGCGGAACAGGAAAGCAACTCAAGAAGCCCAGTTTCAATTCAGAAGATAGGAGATCACCTTTATCCAAGTACAGTTTATGCTTAACTCTCAGAAACTGAACAGTTCTTCAAAATAACTTTGCCTTTAACCTTCCCTAAACATAGAGACCTTATAGCCACACCTGTTAGGAAAGGACCTGGAGGCAGCAGTCCTGTTGTTGTGTGCTCTGGAGGTGGCCGAGCTCTGTGTCCTGTCTGCATTCTTTAATGACCACCTGTAGCTGCTGTTTGCAAACAAATGCCCCTTCCCTGCACCTTGGGTCTTTGCCACAGTCTATGGTTTATTAAGCTCTGCACTCGGCTGTGTGTTTGCAATTTCACCACATCCTTCAAAATTGCTGTAATAGAGGACCATGATGCATTTGTTTTTGTTTCTCCCATTGCTTGACTGTTGATAGGTTTATACTCATTGTTTCATAAATTGCCAGTTCCTGACCCTGACTGCCCCAAGGAAGCCTTAAGAAAGGCTGGAACAAGTACATGAGCCAGAGAGGTAGGGGTCCGGTATTCATGACAATCAGTGAGGACCACAGAGACATTTTGCTGTGAATTCCAGGGACTCTAGGGTTGCTCCATTTCTGTGGCATTTAACCATCATTTTTTTTTTTCTTTGAGACAGGGTCTTGCTATGTAGTCCAGGCAGGTGATCTTGTGGCGATCCTCCTGTCTCAGCCTATCAGGTGCTGGAATGGCAGGCATGTGCTCCCACGCCCTGCTTAACCATCACTATTTTAAATTTTTATTTTGAAATAATTATAGATTCACATGCAGCTATAGGAAACAATCCAGACAGATCCCATGTGCCCTTGACCCAGTTTCCTCAGTGGTAGATCTTGCATAACTAGGACAATGCCACATCCTGGACATTGGCACGGATAAAAGCAAGTACAGGGCATCACCACAGCATTCTTCATAGCCACGCCCACTTCCTCTTCCCTGGCAAACTCTCGTCACTTTCTATCCCTAAGATTTGGTTGTTTCAGGAATGTTACAAAAATAGAATCATGTCGTGTGCAGCCTTCTGGATTTTTCACCAAGCGTAATTCTCTGGAAATGCACCCAACTTGTTGGTTCTGCCAGCTGCCGGTTCCTTTCCACTGCAGAGCAGTAGTCTGTGATATGTTCTCTATGCTTTAGAGAACGTTAGTCATGCTGTTCTCAGTTCAGGGTTATAGTGAATAGAGTAAGTTTATTTGCTTAACTGTTATTTCTCTGGGATAAATGCCTAGAAAGCAAGGCTGGCTTGGCCAGAAGATGCATGCGCAGCCTTTGAAAGAAACTGCCAAACTGTTTCCCAAATGGGCTGTGCCATTTTACATTTCTACCAGCAATGTATGAGCCATCCAATGTCTCTACATTCTCATCAGCATTTGATGTTTCTGCAATCTTTTAATTTTAACTATTCTGATAAGTGTACACTGCTATTTTGCCTTTAATTTGCATTTCCTAGCAGCTAATGGTATTGAACACTTTTGTGCCCTTGTGTGCACCTCTATAGCCTTTGACTAAATGTCTGCTGTTCATTCTTTTGCTCATTTCTCTTTCTTTTTTGCCATGAGCAGTTCCCTGAAAAGCTAAACAGGCTGATGAAAGAACCATGCTACAGTTAGATTCCAAAGACCAGTTAGAAAAGAAAGCCAATCTGTTGTGATGGTTCAGAAATCATTTGCTTTTCTTTGTTTCTTTTTATTCTTTAATAGCCAGCCCGAAAGTATCGGTTCTGATGACAGCCTGGAATTCTTTTTAGATGACAACATGGACTTTGATCTGGTAACCAGATTGTATTTCTTGATTTAAATGTTGCATTTGGTGAAAAAGACCGTCATTCATGTCTTCTTTCAAAATTAGAATTTTCTGTCCCAAACATTCCACATATTTCCCAGAAGGAAATATGATGTAATGCTGCTCTCCAATTGGTCTAAACAGCCATCAGATTATCCATAAAAATGAATGCCTATAGAGATAATAATTTGGGGGAAATATCTGAACTACAATAGATATCTCGTATAAGTGGAATCATATGGTATTTGTCTTTCTGTGGTTGGAATATTTCACTTAACATCATGACCCCAAAGACCATCTATATTGTAGCATAAGACAGGATTTCCTTTTGTAAAGGCTGAGTAATGTTCCAAGGTGTATATATTGTGTTCTATTTATCCACTCATTTATCCGTGGACATTTGGGTTGCTCCTACCACTTAGCTATTGTAAATAATGATGACCAAATAAAAGCTATTTACTTAAAGTAATAGATACTTATTCTTAAAAACTTGAACAGTGTAAAGTAATGACAACCTGCGGAGGAGGAATGACCCTCTCTTAGCTTCCTGTCTTTCTCCTGTTCCTTCTCCCTGGCCTTTCACTTTCACTACTTCCTGCCCTTACTTCCTATTCTGCTATATCCCTTATCCCTCTTTTCCTTACCTTCCTTTTTCCTTCCTCTTTCTGTCTCTTGAGTGTCTCTGCCATCCCCCCGCCCCATACTTGGAATGCCCCTTCCCCTGGGAACCAGCTCTCCCAGGGAAATAGGCAAGGCTCCCACATACTTCTCTCCCCGCCTGCCTCACAGTCAGAGCAGCTGCTGTCATGAGGATCTTGAATGTTCCCCGAAGGCCACACATTGAAAGCGTGGTCCCCATCCTGTTCTGCTACTGGGAGATGCTGGAAACTTTTAGAGATACAGCGAGAGGAAGAAAGGTCCCTGGGGTGAAGAAGATATTGGGGCCGGACCCCTGCCTCCCTCTTTGCTTCCTGGCCACTGTGAGGTGAATAGTTCTCTTCCAGCACATACTGGGGGTGTGATATTGTAGACCATCAGAGCCCCGAAGCAGCAGGGCCAAGTGAGCATGCACCAAAACCTCTGAAGCCTCTTGCCAAAATGAACCTTTCTTCCTGAAAAGTCTGTTATCTCAGGTGTTTTTATCACAGTGATGGAAAGCCAACAACAGTATTATCTATGTAAGTCACGTGTACGTATTTGGGAGTTAATTCTATTCTTCTTTATTGAGTGATTAGCTGCCGGAGCTCTATTTCAAGGAACCAGAAGAGTTACTTCAGGTCCTCACACAGCTGGAAGAACAGAATCTGACTTTGGTTCAATATTCCCAGGATGTAGATGAGAATCTCGAAGAGGTAAACAAAAGAGAAAAAGTTGTACAAGACAAAATGTAAGTGACTAACAAGTAGATCTATTAAGCTATCTCTGATCAGAAACTGGGTCCAGCTTATTCACAATGGCTCTTTCTCGTGGTCTCTAGAGATTTAGGCCAGAATTTTTTTTATTAATAGCACTTCACACTGTGAGAGTAAAAGGTTTGAGGTATATTTACACAGAATAGAGTGATTTAACTTTAATTTTATCCCTGTTAACTTCCACTTGTCAAAATATTTTCCCAGCTGAGAAGGTAGACTCTGGGAGGTAAGTAAAAGGACTGCCGAATGGGGAAGGAAAGAAAAAGGGAGGTAAAGGGATTGAAAAGGATCAAGATATGTTATATGAATATGCCGTCAGTCCCTAAAATGAATTCTGTGTTACGAATATGTACTAATAAAAGTGCTTTCCTGGGTGATAGTAATAAAAGATAGTTCGGAAGACCACAAAAGAATTGAAATGATACCTTTGATTTTTGTGCTCTTTAGTTTTACCCCAGCACTTTCCTTAATCACATGCATTGGATGCTAATGAATTTGTTTTTCTTGATGGTGATGCTCAGCAAATTTATGTTCTGTGATTTAACTGTATGATTTTGTGATTTCTATGTCAGTATATCGGGACTGTTAAAGGAGGCACAGAACGGAGGTGGATATTGACAACTTACAAAATTCAGTCCTATTCTAAAATTTTGTATTATTTTTAAAAAGAGCTTCAAGCTTATAAGAAAGGTATCTTTATACCTACCCATTTATAAAAATACATAGAATCTTTTTAGGACAGTTTTTTGGGTCAGAAGTTGACAACCTTTCTAAATAATAAGTCATACTACATTTAACTTCAGAGCTAATGAATTTGAGGGCTGGGAGTGGTGGAGGCCTTGCCTAGCATACCTGCAGTTCTGGGTTCAGTCCCCAGTACTGGGGTAAAAAAGAACAAATGAATTTGTTCAGAAAGAAGCCAGAAGAATTATCTCACAGCTACCCATGGCCTGTTGTATACTGGGGCTCAGACTCAGGACCTTGCGCTTGCAAGGAAGGTAGCAGAACCACTGAGCTAAATCCCCAGCCCCCTATTGTACGTACCTTTTGAATCCCTCAGTCCTTACAGAGCATAGTACAACACCTTCAGGCCCCAGTTTTTGGAACATGGTAGATGGGGACTGTGGTGGGCAGGCAGGAAAAGGAGATCTATGTCAGGCGTTCTCTCTCTCTCTCTCTCTCTCTCTCTCCACCTGAATCTTGACAGGGGAGTTGGGGGCCTATATTTTCCCCATCACTCCCCAGTTACTCTGCCAGTCACATCACAACTGGGGCTCCTGACACCTCAGCTTTGCTGCTGTTTATTTGGAAGGCCTTTGAGTGCCACAAAAATGGGGGAAGGAAAAATGCCTTCCAGTGGGAGCGGCACCTGAGTATTTCTTGTCCTCCTCATAACTTGGAAAGTTGTGTGTTCTTCAGCAGTGTCTTCAAACACAGGCTCCTACTGGCTCGCTGGCAGGGTGTGGGCCCAAGTTCCAGGGAGCACTGAGGCTCCCGGCTGATAGTTATTTCACTGATCCACAAGTCACAGGCCCAGGGCCCTCTTTCTTCTCTGGCAATAGAAATAGCAACATCGAGTTTCTGCTGGAGCACAAAGAAATGCTGAAGGCTAACTGCTTGCGAGAAGAGGAAAAGGCAGCTGAATTAGAACTGCGCTCCCGGCTCTTCAGTTTTGGAGAATTTAATTCAGATGCCCAGGTAATCATTCTTTGCTCATACTGACTTTATTCTGGCTCACGATGATAATCATTTGCGTTCCCTTTGCACTAAGCAACTGAGTGGTGAAGTTAAAGCAAATCGCAGGTCTCAGGGGCTGGGGATTTAGCTCAGGGGCTCACCTGCCTCGCAATCACAAAGACCTGAGTCTGATCCCCGGTACCAAAAAAAAAACAACAAAACAAGTCTCAGGTTGACGAGAGAGATGGAAAACTAGTTTGCAATCACCACGTCTTGCCAGCGTACAACAGGCAACTTACGAGATAGGAGTCATTTAAATTGGCCCAGTGGAAACATTGCTCTCGCTGTCACAAACCATGATATTGAGGTTTGCCCTGTACCCACATTTCTTCCAGTCATAGCGCAGACATACGGAGCAGCTCACTGCCTAATCTCCTGTCGGTGGCAATTCAGGGATTGACCAATTAACAGAGGGAGAAGCAGAGAATCAACACTGACAGGGAAATTGACCCAACAGGGAGCTGAAACACAGTTTAGCTTCTTCAGGCTCGGATAGAGAGGCTCATACCTGTGACACACACAGTATATCTATTTATTTGTTTGTTTTCAAGACAACATCTCACTCTGTAGCCCAGGCTGGCCTTGAACTCACAGAGGTCCTCCTGCCTCAGCCTCCTCCGTCAGTGCTGGGATTACAGGCGTGCACTGCCACAACCAGCTGGTACACTTACACATTAACAAGTTCATCTCCCCCGCTGGCTGCAAGTCCCTCAGGCTCAGGGACTGTCTTATTCTTCCTAGTTAGCTCCACTTAGTGTCCCCATGAAGCTGGTGCTCAAGAACTGTTTGTGGGATGCATGATTAGGGCTGTCTTTTGTGCCCGCAACAAACTCCATCTAACGTAGGTTTTCTTGGGAAAAAAACCTCGAGTGAAATAAAAGCTCAAAACTGATAGGTGGGGCTGATACCACACTTCGGGCCGTGAACTTGATTTGTAGACAGAGGTAGGTTTGGGGGAGTTGGTCTCAAAGAGGTGAACGATCTCCCCTACCCCAGGTGGGCGGGGTTACAGAAAGGGAAAGCACACACATCCTGGGGTGTCGCTGCGCCCCGAGTCAGCACTGGCAGCAGAAGCAATGCCACTGATGATCTCTCTCAGTCCCTCAGTGTTGTTTGTGAAGTTTAATAATTATTTGACTGCGGCTAAGGCTCCATAAAGTTTTTCATTTAGTCATTTTAAGCATGGAACTCAGTGCCGTCGAGTGTGAGACGTGATCCAAAAATAAGGTGAATTTTAAAAATTGCCATTGCGGGAAAAGACACATTGCCCTCAACCCCACTCAGAACGCTCCTGTGTGCTGCAGATACACCCATCCCACTGTACTGGCCCCTTTCCGAAGAAGTTCTGGAATTCCTCTTTCATGTGTTTTCAGTTGGACCATTGTGGAGCTAGCACTCAACTCACAGGATGGCCTTTCATGGTCACTGTAACTCCGAGGAAGTGCCAGGGGTCTCACAGTGCCACATCTGGTGGACACAGTGGCTAAGGGCACACTGTCACGTTTTAAAGAACCTTTCTTTCTGCTGGACAGCACTTGGCAGCACTGTTCACTGTATTTTTTATCATACCTTGTAAAGACGCTCATGAAAAAGGACCTCCAGAACTGCTTCAGCATTGGGCCAGCATGACAGGGTGAGTGTGTCGAAAGTGTGAGTCACGGGAGGGGATTCATGGTAATGTCTCTTTTATTGTAATAAAAATTTAATTTTATTGTAATAAAAATGTAAACATTCACCACGTGTTTGGACCATCCCTCGTACCTTCATCACATCGTATAACCACCACCATGATCTGCGCTCAGAACATTTTCATCCTCATTTCAGCACAAAATTTAACATCCTAACAGGTTTTAAACGTACATTTTAAGTGGTAGACACACTCGCACAGTTTTACAACCGAGCTCCAGAACTTTCATCCTGCAAAAGCGAAACTACGCTCACTAAGCGCTAGCGCCCCTTTTCTCTCTATACATTTTAAGGTAGACCCACTCGCACAGTTTTACAACCGAGCTCCAGAACTTTCATCCTGCAAAAGCGAAACTACGCTCACTAAGCGCTAGCGCCCCTTTTCTCTCTCCCCCGTTCTCTTTTCCGTCCCTATGAATTTTGTCTTTCTCGGACCTCGTACGAGTGGAATTGAACTGTATTTGCTCTGTAGTCCAGCTTATTTCACAGCACGTAACATGCCCCGGGTTGAGCTGCACCGTAGCTTGCCCCAGGACTGCGTTCCTCCGAGGGCTGAATTCCACGGTAGACCCTGTATTTCCAGATCCAGCTGTTGACGGACCCTTGAGTCACTGCTACCCTTCAACCACCCGCCTCCATTCCAACCAAGCCCCTTTCATCCAAGTTTAGGGCAACTATGGAAGGAAATAGGGAAGTGAGAAAAGGAAAAAAATGGAAATAAAGTCTTTGTAAAAAGAGAAAGGTGAAGGGGGTGAAGGGAGGGCAGGGGAATGGGGAAAAAATAAGAACCAAGATACATCACGTAAAGGTACAAGGTCCCAATGATGAACGTAACTGTACTGTTTGCTTTAAATGGACTGATAAACAATGGGGTAAAAAAGTGGCATTTCAATCCCCTTAACCATTGAGTCAAGCAGATAATTAAGTATAAAAAGGAAAATTGATGTGAAAATTACTTTTAAAGTCTATCCATAAATTTTTTTGGGGGGTACCAGGGATCAAACTCAGGTCCTTGCACTTGCAAAGCAGGCAGCAGAACCACTGAGCTAAATCCCCAGCCCATAATCTTTTCTTTTTTGAAACAGGATCTCACTATGTAGTTGAGACTGACCTGAAACTCACTATGTATCCCAGGCTGGTCTCGAACTCACAGCGATCCTCCTGCCTCAGCCTCCTGAGGCTGAGGCATGCCCGGCTATCCATAAAATCTTGATCACACGTATAAATTTGGTGTATGTGCCAAATGTTCCTGTATATGCTGGAGAATAGCACTAGGAAGTCATAGTCCCCCCAGGCCTATAAATTGTGCTAGGGCTCAGAAGAGGCAGGTTGGGAAAATGGAGAGGGAGATATATTCTTTCCTCAGAACTGTCCAGCTTTCATTCTTCCATTCTTTCAAACCTTAAAATGTAGAAAGCATAATCCTCTCTGATAACCATATGACAAGCATAGTTATGATAAGCATACGATAAGAATAGTTGCATCTAATTTTCAAAGTTTTCTTCCAGCTTTACTGTGGTCTCAGTAAATTAATTATATTAATTATATAAAGTAATGATATTAATCACTCATCCTAGTTACTTTGGAGCTAGAGCCATAAAATGATGCATCTTTCAAAACTGCCACCCTCTTAACTGCACTTAATCCTCTAAAAAGGTTTCCTCGATTCAGTATTTTGTTTTTAAAATGCAAATGTAAACTCAAGCATAGCGCCGTGTTGAAAGTCCTAAGTGTTCCTCTTAAGGAATGTGCTCAGAGTAAACAGTCATGCCCCCCGCACACACATCAGGGAACAGACTGTTATCAGCGCCCGCCAAAGCCTTCCTCAGTCCCCCTACACTCTCCACCACCCCC